CGCCGATGCATCGCCAACGTCGCCGATGCGGCGCGATCTTTTGACTCCATCTACTCGGGCCCCATCTAGGAGGCCTCTAGTGTCGGCGGTTGCAGTACGGGGCCCTGAGGCGGTGGGCGCCATGGACGGGTGACCTCATGCAGTGAAGGCTCGGCTCGGGGTCCTCTCCCTCGGGGGCCCCTCTCTCGGGGCCCCATGCTTCCCGGAGGAGCGGGGAGCAGGAGCCCTCCCCCCCCCCCCCCACTCACGGGCGGCCGGCGCGGCCGCGGGCCCGGAACAGGTCCGAGGCGGGCGGCAGCGAGCAGCTCTCCCAGTACGGGCCCGCTGCGGAAGCCGGCAGCGGTGTCGCGCTCACGCTCCTGTGACTCCCGAGGGGGGGGGGGCTCCTGCCACGATCCTCGGGGTCCCGGCCCTGAGGGCCCCATCTGTGAGCCGCCGATCGCCCCGCGGCGGCCCTTCAGAAGACGCGCGCCCACACTCGCCCGCGCGCGCGTGGTCTGGGCGTCCGCGGTGCGAGGCTCGTAGGCAGGTCGGCGCGGACGCTCGTCAGCATCACCAGGTGCGCGGTCGCTGTTGTGGGCCTCGTCGTCGTCGTCGTCGTCGCCACCGCCGTCGCCGCCGCCGCAGCAGCAGCCGCCGTCATCGTCGTCGTCATCATCGTCGTTGTTATCGTCATCTTCGTCGTCGTCGTCGTGGCTGTTGTGCTTGTCGTGATTGTGGTTGCGGTCGCAGCTACGGTCGACGTGTTTGCGGTCGAAGTGGTCGTGGTCGCCTTTGCCAGCCGTCGTCCGTCGTCTTCATCCTCACTCCCTCGCCTCCCTCACCCTGCTCCCTCTGGCAGCGAACCTGGCGGATCCAGGGGGTAGGTTGCTGGCTGACGAAGCATCCGCGGCTTATACTTCCCCCGAAGTGAAAGTCAGAAACGACCTGCATCCCTACTCTACCTCATGCCTTCGCTTCCTCCTTCGTCCGCACAGTCTTCGCTTCTTCTCCACTGCGCGCCCTCTCTAGCTCTAGCCCCGACGCTCGCCCTCGCCCACCTCCTCTTTTCTTCCGCGCTTGCTCTCTGCACTGTCCCTGCTCTCGCGTTCTATTTTCTATGCGTGTTCATCAAAAGACGGCGCCCAGGTAAAGGAGGCCTTCAGCGCCAGCATCGCTCGGCTGAATAAGCTGGTCTGCCAAGCAGAGGGCTTCAACGGCGTGTGGGTTGGCAAGAGGATGCCGTTTATTTGGAGGTCAAGGTGGTTAAATGCAGCCGTGCGTGCCCCAGGCCCCACACTAAATGGCCTCCTCTGGATCGGAAAGATGTATGCGTGCTGTGTGCCCTGCTCACACGTGCGCTGTGCTAAAACGAACTCAGTTGGTGCATGCAGTCAAATACCACGAGTGGCGTTTATGCCCATCGGCCTTCCGACAAGAACCCTTCGCCAAGAGACATTGGGGAATCTGATGCGAGTACATCTCTCTCTCTGTCAGGGATCAGCAGGGTGAAGTTTGATACCGGGCATGGCTATCGTGTGTGTGAGGATGCCACAGGTACCCGTGTGCTGACAGGGGCAGCTGCAGTCGGCCCGAATTCTTGCACGTGGCATTCGGGCACCGTGCTGCTTGCCCTGACGAGGTCTTCACTTGCCGACGCACGCAGAGGCACTGCGCGTGCGCATGCAGGTGCGGATCGCCTCAGACGTCCAGGCCCTGCGCCTGGAGCTCCTGCCCCAGTCCGTGCAGGTGGCAGCCCCGCTCGCTCGCGTGGGTGCGCTGCAAGGGCACCCCCGACCGCGGGGTTCGAGCTTGGGCGACGATAGGTTGCGTCACGCCTTGCGGCACTGCTGTTCAGCAGAGGTTCCTTGGGTTGATTCGCGTGGTGAGGTGAAGTCAATCAGAGTGGCAGGCTCGGGTCTGCGGGTGTGAAACGAAGCGCGCGCTTCTGCAAGCCTTGTCCCGTTTTGCTTGCCTTCCTGCCTGCCTCTTGTGATCGTTGCTGGTGTGCTCTCTTGCCTGCTTGCAGGGGTGCAGGGGCAGGGTGAAACTACCATTATCCCAGCGACGGACAGCAGCGGTGCACCATCCAGGATGCCATCATCCACTGGCACTGGGGTGAGGAGTCCGAGCTAGAGATCTGGAGCGCAACTGAAGGCGACAAGGGCGTCCGAAGGGTGGTGAAGAGTTCTGCAGGATGTGGTGAGTGCGACATCCTCTATGAGGAGTCCGAGCTAGAGATTTGGAGCGCAACTGATGGTGACAAGGGCGTCCGAAGGGTGGTGCAGAGCCCTGCGTGGGACATGAGGGAGAGGAGGGAGGGAGGGAGGGAGGAGGAGGGGGAGGAGGAGGAGGAGAGGATGATGATATGTAGGAGGACGGGTGGAGGGGAAGAGGATGAGGATGAACGCCGCAATCCCGTGCTTCAGTCGTCCGTGCAACGTCAAAAGGAGGAGGAGAAGGGGGAGAGGAGGGGGAGGAGAGGAGGGGAGGAGGAGGGAGGAGGAGAGGAGGAGGAGAGGAGGAGGAGGAGGGAGGAGGAGGAGGAGGAGGAGTAGGGAGGAGGAGAGGAGGAGGAGGAGAGAGGAGGAGGAGAGGAGGAGGGAGGGAGGAGGAGGAGGAGGAGGAGGAGGAGGAGGAGGAGGAGGAGGAGGAGTGTGGAGGAGGGTGGAGGGAGGAGGCCCGCCACGAGATGCCCTATCCCAGAAGCCTGCGGGCGTAGTGAGACAGAAAGGAAATCAAGCGGCGGCGGGTCCGCCAGGGTAAGCAAGCGGAAAGGTTTTGGCAGGAGGCGGTGAAGGTCACCGCCCACCAGACCACCCCAACCCAACCCGAAGCCCCCGATGTGCCCTCCATTTCCATTGGGGGTGGGGGTGTGTGGAATATTTGCAGGAGGGGAAAACACACAGACACAATTAATCGTCGACTCCCAGGAACATGTAAGAATCTATGGGTAGTCGGGGGGAGACGAAAATCCCAAAAATATGGAAACGTATGGGGAATCCTGGGATGTGTGTGTATTTATTTGTGTGTCCTTGGGCCCCTTAAACATTGAAAAGACACCCATGAAGCCCGCACCCCCCGAAACCCGAAATTAGGGTCTTCGGGTTGGGTGTGTGTGTGTGTGGTCTGGCTGGTAGGCAAGAAGAAAACACGGGACTCCCGGGCTTCTGGAGTCCGCCGTGTGTGCGCAGTCGAAAAGCTCCTAGTGAGGACGCACGGATGTCCTCACGGGTACCTTCTGTGTCCTGGCCTCTGCGGCCCGTCCTTCGCGCGGTTTTTACCGGCCAGCCCTTTTCTGGTGTTGGCAGCCCGCCGCCCCGAAAGTGCCAAATTCGGCGACCAAGGTCCGGTGCGTCCTTACCGCCCGTCCTTGCTATAGGTCTCGACAGTTGGTCGGTGTTTTTTCTATAGTTTTCCTGTGGTTTTGGGCCCTCTTCCTCTCAGCAGTGGCGCGCCCACCCTGCCTGGCCTCCTCCTACTCCTTTGGCCTCTCCTCGCACCCTGCTCCCGCTGTCTTGCTCTTATGAGGCCTCGCCTTTGTCAATGTCCCCCCCAGCAACTCATGTGTTCTGAGGGGCTCGTGGACCGTCTCGGGATTCTGGTGCCTCTTTGGGCCACCCCAGGTACCCACTGGGAATATCTGTGAGAATAATCGGGGGCAATTGCGAGGATAGTCCAGATCGTTGTCGTCGTCGTCCTCCTCCTTCTCCTCCTCCTTCTCCTCCTCCTCCTCCTTCTCCTCCTCCTCCTCCTCCTCGTGGGAGGTATTCGGAAGGTGGTGTTCGGGATATCTCCAAAGGTTTCCGGAGGTTTTTTGGAAGGCTTCCGACTGTTTTGAGGGGTTTCTAGACGTCTTCGCAGATTTCGTAGGTTTCTGCAGGTTTCAATAGCACGATTGGCGGGACGAGGGGAAGAGGATAGATTTGGAGGAATCCAGGTAGGCGAACAGTGATGGTGACGGTGATGATGAGGATGAGGAGGGTAAGGCGAAATCGATGATACGGAGGAGCAGTATGTGCTGCTGCTGATGCTGCTGCTGCTGATGATGCAGAGTAGGATAAGGAGGAGGAGGCGGAGAGAGGAGGAGGAGGAGGAGGAGAAGGATGATGATGATGATGATGATGAGGAGGAGGAGGAGGAGGAGGAGAGGGGAAGATAATGACGGAGAGAGGGGGAGGAAGATGAGGAGGACGAGGAGGATGAGAAGGATGAGGAAGACGAGGAGGAGGACGAGGAGGAGGAGGAGGAGAAGGATGAGGAGGAGGAGGGCAAGGATGATGATGATGATGACGATGATGATGATGATGATGATGATGATGATGATGATGATGCTGATGATTATGATGATGATGATGATGATGATGATGATGATGATGATGATGATGATGATGATGATGATGATAATGATGATGATGATGATGGATGATGATGATGATGATGATGATGATGATGATGATGATAATGATGATGATGATTGATGATGATGATGATGATGATGATGATGATGATGATGATGATGATGATGGCGATGATGCTGCTGATGGTGATGATGATGATGATGATGCTGATGCTGCTGATGATGCTGCTGCTGATGATGATGATCATGATGAGGTCGCTGCTGCTGTTTCTGATGGTCATGACGACGATTATGATGCTGATGCTGATGATGCTGATGCTGATGCTGCTGATGATGGTGATGCTGCTGATGATGATGATGATGATGATGATGTTGCTGCTGTTTCTGATGATCATGACTTCGATGGTGATGCCGATGCTGATGATGCTGATGCTGATAGCAGTATTTTGATGATGCTGCTGATGATGATGCTGCTGGCTGATGATGCTGGTGATGCTGCTGATGATGGTGATGATGATGACGACGCTAGAACCGATGACGATAACGATGCTGCTGCTGATGCTGCTGCTGCTGATGATGCTGCTGCTACGGATGATGATGATGCTGATGATGATGATGATGCTGATGATTATGATGATGATGATGATGATGATGATGATGATGATGATGATGATGATGATGATGATGATGATGATGATGATGATGATGATGCTGACGATGCTGCTGCTGCTGATGATGATGCTAATGATGCTGATGCTGATGCTGCTGCTGATGATGCGAATCAGGCTGCTGGTGTACTGCATTGTTTGTCCAGTGGTGGTTATGGTTTTGATGTCCTTGTCTTCGTTGGTTGTGATGGCGGTTGCGTTAATGATGCTGGTTATGACCACGATGACGAACATGACGATGATAGCCTTATTTGGAGCACGAGGGGTACGATGAGGAGGCCGAGTGAAAGACAGCCCTCAGTCTCGACGACCTTGGGGCAGGACACCTTCCACGGCAACCTGCGGGAGGACGGCTCCCTGTTTTGGCAGGAGCTGCGGCCTGCCCCCAATGGCCACGTGCACGCCAAAGCCGCCGCCGAGGAGGAGGAGGAGGAGGAGGAGGAGAAGGAGGAGGCCGTAGCCATTTTGGCTCAATCCATTTTGGCTCAAGTTGCCATTTCTCGAGGCAGCTGGCCAGGACAGCTTTTCGGAGTTGGGGGGTAGGCAGGCGGCTTTGCCTCGCCCCCCGCGCTCCAGTCTGTGAGCTCCTGTGGGAGCAGTGTCCGCCCGCGAGGGCACTCCACGTTTCGCGCCCGACAAGGGATGAGCAATGACGGACGCACAGTTCTCAAGGGGCCGAAGGCCCAATTTTGGGGCTGTTGGCAATGCGGCAGGGCATCCAACTGGGCCTCCAGGATCCAGTGCACGTGTGGGACCGCAGCGCCGAGGACGATTGTGGATAAATCGAGGGCAGCTGACAAGGCGGCCGGTGGGGGTGTCGGGGGTGTCGGTAAGAACTTCCCTGCAGGGCCCTGGGCAGCCAAGTTCGAGGCTCAAGCTAAAAATACTGCAGCACTCACATCCAAGCTCGACAAGTTGGGCAAGGGCGGACCAGGAAGGGCTCCCGCATCAGGCATGGGAGCGAAACCTGGGACAACGCCCGTGGACCCGAAGGAGGCGGAGGCTGAAAAGTGTCGGGAACGGATCGAGATGCTGTCGCAGACGGTACAGAGTATGGACGCGGAGAGAGATAAGGATTTCATCACGGGGCTTCAGGAGAAGATCAGGGAAACCCGTGAACAACTGCAGAGGCTCGAACCGCATATCACCCAGCACACCAACACGGGCCACTTGCTCGCAGAGCTGGAGCGGAAGCGGGCGGCGGCTGTGCAGAAGACGAAGGAGCAAGAGGAGGTCATCGCTGCCGCCAAGGAGGATATCGGCAAGCAGCAGGAGGCCATCACCAAGTTCGACGCGGAGATCGTGCAGGCCAAGAGGGCGCTTGCGAGCACGATCCCCGATGACGTCTTCTACGATTGCGACGAGGCCGACTTCGAGGACGAGCAGGAAGTCAAGGACATGTTCGCCTCGGAGGCCTGGAGTAGCTACCACGAGAAGGTCAGGGAGAAAGGAGGGCGCCGTGCTAGGGCCTCTCCTCAAGCTCCTACTGATGGTGGCGGTGCAGGGCAACCAGATGAAGACGCAGCTGAGGAGCCTGACGACGACGACGACGACGTGGAAGCCCTGTGGAAGGCCACTAAAGGCGAGAAGCGACTTCTGTTGGAGCAGCTCAGGGCCAAGGGGTACAAGAGGCCGAAGCGTGGGTAGCCAGCCAGGCCCTGACGTTGACGTCGACATGGGCTGGGGCGAGCTGGATGGCTTCGATCCTCACCCCGAGGCTGACCCCCGAGGCAGGCCCTGGGCGCGGGGGGCGGGTGCTGGAGGTCAGGTGGGCCCGGGCACCAGCCCCGACCTGGGCGGCTGCATGACGGACCATGTGGGATGTTGCGGGTTTTTTTCCTTGAGACAGCAGCGGATCCTGTCGGTGCGACGGCGCCAGGGACAGCGGTTTTCGAACTATCGTCGAGGCGGCCGAAGAAGGGGAGGGAGCCAGAGTTTCGGTTCTGTTTTGCCAATATCACGAGCTATGGTGACAGGGCAAAGAGTCAGATCAGGGACTGGACCCTCGCTCATGCGGGTACACACACATCGTGAGGATGAGGGGGTACCTGCGCCACACCTGGTCGGCTTCGTGGAGCACCACCAGATGGGGGCCAAGCTCGCTGAGATGAGTAAGGGGCCCAGCAAGCAGGGCTGGAGGGGTGGCCTCGTCCGAGCCCATCCTACGATTAATGGAGGTCGACAGGGACATGGAGGTGTAGCAGTGTTCTGCCGCTCGAATTTCCACACCTCTGTCCCCACTGCCGATGAGAAGTTGCTTTTCCCCGAAGCACCTCCAGCGTTGCCGAGTCAATGGGCAGTGCAGTGGGTACGTTTCCAGTCAGTCGATATTGCCTTTGTGCCGGCCTACTTCGTGGTGGGAGTTGGCCTGGCCGAGCCCAACTTATCGCTGCTGTCGGAGACCGGGCATTACCTCAGGCACACGGGCTCGCCTTTCGTGATCATGGCTGACTGGAACATGACGCTCGAGGAGGTGGGGCCAGGAGGTTTCGACACCTACGTCGGAGGAGAATGGATCACCCCTGGCCCTCACCCCAATGGGGAAAGACTGATTGATTACATGTGCGTGTCGGACTCCCTGCGCTTTGCTGTGAACATCAAGTGGGGCGGGGCCTCTCCTTGGGCGGCGCCGCGCCTCGGGGTCCGCGGCATCATCAGGAAGTCGGCTTTCACCCTCAAGCAGCGGGTGGCGGTGACACCGCTTCCCATCGCGCCTGGCATGCACGGCCCCGGCTTGCCGTGGGAGTTCTGCTGTGAGCAGGTCAGCGACAGTCTGGGGGATGGCATGTCGCGGCCAGGGATGAGTGAGCTCGAGGGGGCCGAGAGGGCGGTCAGCGAGAGCTACGTGGCTTTCGCGCTGGCGGCGGAGGACCTGCTGCTCAACAGGGAGGTGGGGAAGGGAGTGCGCCGCTCCGCGTCCACCGAGCGGGGGTTCAAGGTCGAGGTCCAGGAGGTCCAGGAGGTCCAAGTGGCCCCCCCCCCTATGCCGAAGGGGTGGAGGGCCCACGCCACTGGCGTGGCCAAGTGGGGGACCCTGGAGGTCCGTCTGCTTGAGTGTGTGGGCATGGCCCAGAAGAACAGGGATCTTTATCTTCAGAGGCTGGGGTGGGACAGCCTGCAGCGTCAAGTGAGCAGATGCAGGGAGCTCTTGCCTGTTTCACCAGAGGAGGCTGAAATGTGTTTCCTGGGCAAGCTTGAAGGCGCCCTCTCCAGGACCATGGGGGCCTCCAGGGGATCCACGCCCTGGGTGAGGAGCGCCGTCGGATTGTTTTGCGAGTTGAGCGTTTCCACGGGCGTGAAGCTTCGAGAGGTTTTAAAGAATGGGTCGTTGAGGGTTTGAGGAGGGGGGGGGGGGGGGGGCTCTCCACCGTTGGGCCAAGACGTGGGGGGGGGGGGGGGGGGGGGGGCACCCAGGCCCTGGCTCCAGAGTTTGGCCCTGAGGGGGGCCCCATTGTTGATCCCCTCCGCTCGGTGGCGGCCAAGGCAGCTGTGTGGGAGGCGCTGTGGTGCCCGCAGGCTGGTGCGCAGGGGCCCCCTCATGACCAAGATTGGTGGCCTGAATTTGCAGCCTGTGCCCTCGGAGCTCGAGGGGGGCTCCAGCCGCTGGAACTGGCAGACCTGGAGACGGCGCTGTCGAGTTTCAGGCCAGTGATTGGGACGGGCCTGGGCGGCCAGAATCCCAGGGTCTGGAGCCAGCTGCCGCTGGCAGGACGCAGGGATCTTCTTCGCGTGATTCAGCAAGTTGAGGACTCGATGACCTGGCCTAGTCAGGTCAGAGACAATGTGGTGCAACTCCTGCACAAGTCGCCGACAGCCGATCGGCTTATCACCCCCGCGCAAGGCCTATATAGATGTTGGGCGGTGGCGAGGAGGGGGACGGTTGCGGGGTGGGTGACGGTGGTGGTGGTGGTGGGTGGTGGTGGGGTGGTGGTGGTGGTGGTGGTTGGGGTGGGGTTGGGTGGGTGTGGGGGTGTGGGGTGGGGTGGGTGGGGTGGGGTGGTGGTGGTGGTGGTGGTGGTGGTGGTGGGGGGGTGGGGTGGGTGGGGTGGGGTGGGGGGGGTGGGGTGGTGTGTGTGTGTGTGTGTGTGTGTGTGTGTGTGTGTGTGTGTGTGTGTGTGTGTGTGTGTGTGTGTGTGTGTGTGTGTGTGTGTGTGTGTGTGTGTGTGTGTGGGGGGCGCGCTTCTGGGGCAAGGCCATCAGAGGGAGCTCCGCTTTAAGGGCTGCGATCCTGCGCCAGCTCCAGCTCGAAGGCTCAACCGTCCAGGGGTTTTCATGGGCGGAGATCCTGTGGGACTGGGAAAATTTTACGACCACCTCCAGTGTTTTGAGATTTTCAGGCTCGGCCGAGCCACGGGGTACCCGATGTTTCATCTGTTCATGGCCATGTAAATCCACTGTGCCCCAAGGAGGGTTAGAGCGGAGGATTGCTTCAATGATGTTATTTACCACTGGCGGGGAACCTTTGCTGGGCGTAATCAGTCGGTGGATGTGGCCGGAGTGGCGTTGTTCGAGATTTTGCAAGACCGACACGACACCCTCAGACCCCTCCAGCTCGACGCGTGGGTGGGCGATTGCTCCCAGCGGGTCGTGGGGCACTCCAAGGAGGTGGTCTCGAAGAGCGTGCTAGTAGGTGGGAGATTCTGGAAGCTGTGCGCACAGGGAGGCCTCAAGGTCTCAAACAACAGTGCTCTAGTGAGCTGTCCTGTGCACCTTGCCTCAGAAATTCAGGCGGCCCTGGCGGCCCGCGGCCTGCATGTCAGCACTTCCCAGGTGGCCGAGGACCTAGGGGTGGATGCAACGGCCTGCAGGCGAAGCGTGGCCACTCAAGAGAAGAGGCTGGCCTCGGCTGCGGGACGTGCTCAGATGATCGCGCAAGTTGTCAAAGTCACCCCGAGGGCTCGCGCGCTGGGGAGGTCTGGTTCCTTGCCTCAGGCGACGTGGGGGCTAGAAGGTACAGGGCTGGCCCCGGCGACGCTGATGAGGTTGCGAGCCCAGGTTGCTGCTTATTCGGGGGCCCGCTTCGAGGGCGGATGCTCTACCACGGCAATCAATTTGATGATGGGGTCCCATCAGGACCCGCTGATTTTTTGCAGGCTCCGCATTTTCAGGATGTGGTACGACCTACTGCCAACTGTGCTGTCGCAGTCTGAGCGCCCACTCGCCCTTGTGTGGAAAAAAGCATGGAAGCATATGCTTACTGTGAAACGCCGCTGGAGCCACGTGAAAGGGCCAATCTCTGCTGTGATTGCCTGCCTGCAAGACTTAGGCTGGAGGGCTCCAGAACCGTGGGAGTGGATTTCGCCCGATGAGCTCAGATTTGACCTGCGGGACTGTGACCCCGAACGGCTCATTGTTCTAGAGCTGGGAGG